CTTGAGGCTTCGAACTTGCAACCTTTTGGTTGATAGATCTTGTAATTGCTGATGATTTACCAGCTGTGCTAAACCTTCGGCCCAAATTTAAAAACAAATTCCTGGGAGACAGAACACTATTGATCTCAAAGTAAAAGAATAACTTCATTGAAATAGGCCCAGGATTGTTCTGGTCTTCAAGAAGGCAATGCAGATACCAGTGTGTTTACAATTTCTGTCTTTAACTCAAAACATTCAGTCGAACATTTGCCAACGTTGAAATGCTATGAGCTTGTTTTTTAACTCGGCAATGTAGTGAAATCTACCTTTAAGGCGTCCAGGCCGGAGCCTGAAAGTCAGTGGCTGTCATCTTGAAAGACAGGCAGAAGCAGGAGGAGGAGTCAAGCCGACTCCTGATTGGTCAGAGCAATTAGGGGAGGAGTCGGTTGAGAGAGGGAAAGAGGCTGTCAGCTTTTGACCAGGGAGAGAAGTGTCTTGACATCAGACACAGAAGGAAGAGATTTTTAGGAGAGGAAGCTAAATAAGAGTCTGACAGGGAAAGAAAGCTTTAAAGTGAGCCTTAAGGATAGGGAATAAGTAGCAGACAAGGGCTAGGGTTACTGTATTGAGAGGATCAGTAACAGAAAGACTTGTCTTCTTAGACTTAGGAGAAGTTTAAGAGAGCTTATTGCCCTGTGTGTGAGACAGATAGGAGTCTGTTCTCTAAGGGATACTGTTTCTAAGAATAGAGCAGTTTGTTTAAGGAAACTCACAGTTTTAAAAGCTTTACTGTCAGTGGAACTACTTGTTTAAATAACTAAGTCTTATTAACTAAATTACGCTTCTGTACCGCTCATTCTATGAGTTGATATTTGTTTAAAGTTTAATGAACCTTTTCTAGTTCACTTTTAACTGGTGTCAGCCTCTGTCTGTCAAACTCGTTTAAAGTCCAGTCAACCAGTAAAGCAGTTATAGAAGAACCAAGGACAAACACACCTTACCTACAACACACTCACACCTTTGGTTCCTCAGACCAATAAAGCTGAGGTGGTGGCAGTTAATTCTACCAGAAACATCAGTCAATGATATATTTAACCTATGGTCAGCCGCTAATTATTTTACAGTGGTGTCCAGCGGTGAGTTACGTCACGTATAGTCTAAATTATATTACATTGGTGGCAGAGGTGGGATTGAAAAGTCTTCCCCCCTGCCAAAATCAGAAAGGTCAACGCTAATTTTCATTATACTGGTCGCAGCGATGGGATTCTTTCTTCCCCCCCTGCCCCAGATATCTTTGAATTTCTTTATAACAACCAAACAACAAAAATATAAAGGGAGGGTGAAAATGTAAAATAATACGCCCTCAGGCTATCCAAGCAACTTTATATTGGCCTCTGCAGCATTTAATCCTAGTAAACATATTTACTTGGAAGCAAACCCGATTGTACCCTGAATGTGGTATTCCAATTTACTGAGTTCCTTTGTATCCCTTTTTTTTATAACCCATATAATTATGAATAAGCATAAGTAAGTATTATATAAAATGGCATTTCATTTAAATGTATGCCCCATTAGTTCTTTTCATAATTTAAATACTGTACGATTTGTGTGCAAAAAAAAAAAAAAAAAGATTAATGTGGCAAAGCCCTTTATGTCTTTGCTGGCATGCACCAAGACTAAAGCTTGTAATGCATTAGACTTAACAGTGTTATGCGCTAACTTGTTATTTTTGGTCCTTTTGTCTTGTAAGGAGAAAAAGGGGAAAAGAAGCAATGATTAGTAAACGTTGTGAGTCTTCCTCTGTAAGAAGTAATTATTCCCTACCATTTTTTAAAAAGTTCTGTGGAGTTAAAATACTACTGTGGGTGATTTAGAGGGGGGGGGGGGTCTTCAATTTTCAAGCAATTTTAAGATTATTTGCCCATTCTTGGTTTGCCCCTGGAGGAAGACCCTCGTGGGGAGGGGGGGCATCCAGTTGGGATTGCCTGATTTTGCTGGCCACAGGGATATTCTTTACTTTCAGGAAGGAGTTGAAAACCTGGCTATTTAAGCAGGCTTTTGATAATGGCTAAGAATATCAACCACCTTTTTGAACAGAATAGTTATTAGAACTATAATTTATAATGCTGAATACCCTGATCATAGGAATTGACTGGTTTTAAATTATACACACACACTGTTTTAGAGGGCTAAATAGTCTTTTAAACCATTTATGTTTACACGGTTGTATGCTGAATACATGAAGGTTATGTGTAAACCAACTATGCTACTTATTTTTGTTTCTTGAGAGCATGATTTAAACCAAGACGTTTTAAGGGAGAGTCGCCATTTTTCCAAAACACCGAACTACAACTTCTAGGATACCATAATATTGAGCCTCCTTGGAAATATTGGTTATTGACAGCCAGCTTCTGCACCTATTTACCTTTGGGTGACTTTGCCCTAGATCTACACATGGTCAAATGAGTAGATGTTCTTTGGGAAATTTCCACACTGGAACACATCTCACCACGTGAAAACAGTGGATGTGGCTCTTAATGAGACATGCCGCATTATCACGGGGTGTCTGCACCCTACACCACTGGAGAAACTACACTGTCTAGCTGGTATTGCACCACCTGATATCTGCCAGGAAGTAGCAACCAATAGTGAAAGGACCAAGGCAGTGACATCTCCAGCTCATCCCCTTGTTTGGGTATCAGCCAGCACGTCAACGACTTAAATCAAGAAATAGTTTTCTAAGATCTACAGAGACACTCGCTGGAACACCTCAGCAAGCGAGAGTCCAAAAGTGGCAGGCTCAAACTCAGAACCTCAATCAATGGCTGATACCAAATGAGAGACTCCCTCCTGGGCACACAGAAGACTGGGCGACTTGGAAGGCGCTGAACAGACTGCGCTCTGGCACCACGAGATGCAGAGCCAACCTTAAGAAATGGGGCTACAAAGTGGAATCCACGACATGCGAGTGTGAAGGAGAGCAAACCACAGACCACCTGCTGCAATGCAACCTGAGCCCTGCTACATACACAATGGAGGACCTTCTTGCGGCAACACCAGAGGCACTCCAAGTGGCCAGCTACTGGTCAAAAGACATTTAATAGAATACCAAGTTTGCAAACTTTGTGTTTTGTCTGTTTGTTTGTTTTGTTAAAAATGTAATACACATGTCTGGTTGCTCCTGACACAATAAATAAATAACCCAAAGGTAACAGGTGCAGAAGCTGTCTGTCAATAACCAACATTTCAAAGGAGGCTCAATACTATGAAATCCTAGGAGTTGTAGTTTGGTGTTTTGGAAAAATGACACCACAACCTTTTGGGGACTGGAAATTTCCATTTCAGTTGCCCAAAGAACATCTACTCATTCGACCATATGTAGATTTGGGGCAAAGTCACCCAAAGGTAATAGGTGCAGAAGCTGGCTGTCAATAACCAACATTTCCAAGGAGGCTCAATATTATGGAATCCTAGGAGTTGTAGTTTGGGGTTTTGGAAAAATGACGGATGCCATAAACTTTTGGGAACTGGAAATTTCCATTTCAGTTGTCTAAAGAACATCTACTCATTTGACTATATCTAGATTTGCGGCAAAGTCATCTAAAGGCATAGGAGCCCCCGGTGGTGCAGTGCGTTAAACCGCTGAGCTGCTGAACTTGTTGACTGAAAGGTTGCAGGTTCAATTCCAGGGAGCGGTATGAGCTTCTGCTGTCAGTCCCAGCTTCTATCAACCTAGCAGTTTGAAAACATGCAAATGTGAGTAGATCAATAGGCAGGAAGGTAACGGTGCTCCATGCAGTCATGATGGCCACATGACCTAGGAGGTGTCTACAGACAATGTGGGCTCTTCGGCTTAGAAATGGAGATGAGCACCAACCCCCAGAGTTGGACATGACTGGACTTAATGTCAGGGAACAACCTTTATCTTTACCTTTACATCCAACTGCAACAGGTGCAGAAGCTGGCTGTCAATAACCAACATTTCAAAGGAGGCTCAATACTATGAAATCCTAGGAGTTGTAGTTTGGTGTTTTGGAAAAATGACACCATAACCTTTTGGGGACTGGAAATTTCCATTTCAATTGCCCAAAGAACATCTACTCAATGTATTGTCGAAGGCTTTCATGGCTGGAATCACTCAGTTCTTGTGGGTTTTTTCGGGCTATATTGCCATGTTCTAGAGGCATTTCTCCTGACGTTTCGCCTGCATCTATGGCAAGCATCCTCAGAGGTGAGGTCTGCTGGATGCTTGCCATAGATGCAGGTGAAACGTCAGGAGAAATGCCTCTAGAACATGGCCATATAGCCCGAAAAAACCCACAAGAACTGAACATCTACTCATTCGACCACGTGTAGATCTGGGGCAAAGTCACCTAAAGTAGAGTAGCATAGCGCAAGGGCAGATGTCTTCACTGTGTCTGGTTGTAATCCCCACCTTTGGGTGACTTTGCCCCAAATCTGCACATGGTCAAATGAGTAGATGTTCTCTGGGCAACTGAAATGGAAATTTCCAGTCCCCAAAAGGTTATGGCATCCTCATTGCTCCAAAACCCCAAACTACAACTCCTTGGATTCCATAGCATTGAGCCATGGCAGTCGAAGTAGAGTCAAACTGCATTCATTCCACAGTGTGTAGATTTGGGGCAAAGTCACCCAAAGGCAACAGGTGGAGATGCTGGCTGTCAATTAACAACATATAATCCAGGGAGACTTTTTGACCATGTCTTTGAGAGGAAATGGGGTGCTTCTGTATGACTGGAGCCAGGAGGGAAGGCAATAAGGAAAGGGAATTGGGGGGGGGGGGGGGTGGTTGGAAGCTTATCCATGACATCTGTCAATCCCTTTGGGGAGCCAGGTGCCTTCAATGTCCTCCAAAACACAACTTCCTCACGTCCCCTGGCTGCCATTCGAGGGGAAGGGCTGTGTGAGGCAAACGTGGTGTAATTTCCTGACTGATATTTGCGCTTGAGGCGATCTTATTATGACAAAGGCGGGGGGGGGGGGGGAATTGAGAGAGAGGACAACAAAGGAGGCGCCTCCTCCTCCTCCTCCTTTTCCTCCTCTTGGCAATCCCTGCCATGGCTTCGGACTCGTGTAGAAAACCCAGGCGGAGTTGGCTTTGAGTTAAAGAGTCACACAGAGATGTGTGAGGAGGAGGAGGAGGAGGAGGAGAAGCAGCGCCTCCGTGTGCGTTTGGCCTCTCAGTCTGGCGAGGGAGAAAAGCGCGGGGCTTTCTTGGCCAGAGGAATGAGGGAGACACATCCCTAGCCGGACACCCATTCCATGCCATTGAGACCAAGGCGCTTTCCCTTCGGCTGACAGGAGGCTGGCAGGAGGCGTCGCTTGTTTCCTTCTCCCGTCTGTCTCGCCTCTGCTTCGGATTGTGCCTCGACCATGCTCTCATCCGAGAAGGGTCTGGGATTCGTCTCCACCGGCTTGTACCTCTGGGCCTCCTTGTTCCTCTCCTTGTGGAAAGGTAAGCTCTGCCTGAAGGTGCCTGCTTGGCTTCTCAATGCGCTTGGAAACTTTGAGGGAGGACTGGGGTTGTGTCTCCAAAATGAGAGGAAAGCACTGCACGCCATGGACTCAGGTTGGGCTGTGTCTAAACTGGGGGTGCTCCCATGGTTCACCCTTCCAAATATGGAGTCTTGAGGAAAGGACAGACAGCCCCCAAGTCAGGTCCAAAATAGGTTCTGGAGGTTTGTTCTGAAGTTGAATTGGTATGAAAGTCAGAACAGGGACATCTCTTCAGTGTAACTCCAGCCATATGCATATGTAGACATAGTAGATATACCTAGTAGATACACAGGTAGATATATAAAGATAGGATGTTGTCCATTCATCCCACAAATTCAAATAGGATGTCCATTTCTCTCTCTCTCTCTCTCTCTATATATATATATGTATGTGTGTGTGTGTGTGTATAAGGATACACACACACACACACACATATAATATATATATATATATATATAGAGAGAGAGAGAGAGAGAGAGAGAGATGAATGGACATCCTATCTGAATTTGTATGAAAGTTGGAACAGGGATATATCTTCAGTGTAACTCCAGTCATATGTAGACATAGTAGATATATCTAGTAGATACATAAGTAGATATAGCTAGTAGATATATAAAGATAAGATGTCCATTCGTCCCTCTGTCCTCACACACACACACACATATAGGACTGAGAGATGAATGGACATCCTATTTGAATTTGTATGAAAGTCAGAACAGGGATATCTCTTCAGTGTAACTCCAGCCATATGTCTATGTAGACATAGCAGATATATCTAGTAGATACATAAGTAGATGTAGCTAGCTAGTAGATATGTAAAGATAGGATGTCCATTCATCCCTCTGTCCTCATAGATAGATAGATAGATAGATAGATAGATAGATAGATAGAGAAGACTGAGAGATGAATGGGCATCCTATTTGAATTTGTATGAAAGTCGGAACAGGGACATATCTTCAGTGTAACTCCAGTCATATGTACTTATAGATATAGTAGTTATATCTAGTAGATACATAAGGCTAGTATATATATATATATATATATATATATATCCACACACACACACACCCGGTGGCGCAGTGGGTTAAAGCACTGAGCTTGTTGACCAAAAGGTCACAGATTCGATTCCAGGGAGCGGCGTGAGCTTCCGCTGTCAGCCCTAGCTTCTGCCAACCTAGCAGTTCTGCCAACCTAGCAGTTCGATAACATTACCGGCGGGAAGGTAACGGCGCTCCATGCGGTCATGCCGGCCACATGACCTTGGAGGTGTCTATGGACAACGCTGGCTCTTCGGCTTAGAAATGGAGATGAGCACCGCACCCCAGAGTCAGACATGACTGGACTTAAAGTCAGGGGACAACCTTTACCTATATATATATGAAGATAGAGGGATGAATGGACATCCTGTCTTTATATATCTACTAGCTACATCTACTACTTACGTATCTACTAGATATATCTACTATGACTACATATACATATGACTGGAGTTACACTGAAGATATATCCCTGTTCTGACTTTCATACAAATTCAAACAGGATGTCCATCTCTCAGTCCTATATATATATATATATATATATATATATATATATATATATATATATGGACAGAGGGATGAATGGACATCCTATCTTTATATATCTACTAGATGTATCTACATCCCCTGCCACAGGTTGCTGTGGCCCAGTCTGTGTATATGTGTTTTGTGTGTGTATATATGTATATGTCTGTGTGTGCATTTGTGCATATGTGTATATATGTGGTTTTGTGCATGTGTTGTAATGTATGTGTTTTTTGGCTTTTTAAGTCTCTTCCGCTGTATTTTTCAGTGTGTTTATGATTGATGGTCACTCGTTGGCCTGAGAGATGTCTTGTGTCCAAATCTGGTGTCAATTCGTCCAGTGGTTTTTGAGTTATGTTAATTCCACAAATGAACGTTACATTTATATATACGTGGGAGCCCCCAGTGGTGCAGTGGGTTAAAGCACTGAGCTGCTGAACTTGTTGACTGAAAGGTCGCAGGTTCAAATCCAGGGAGCAGCATGGCATGAGCACCCACTGTTAGCCCTAGCTTCTGCAACCTAGCAGTTCGAAAAGCAAATGTGAGTACATTAATAGGTACCGCTCCGGCAGGAAGGTAACAGCGCTCCTTGCAGTTATGCTGGCCACATGACCTAGGAGGTGTCTATGGACAATGCTTGCTCTTCGGCTTAGAAATGGAGATGAGCACCACACTCCAGAGTCGGACACGACTGGACTTAATGCCAGGGGAAAACCTTTACCTTTACATTTACATTTACCTATACCTATACCTATACCTATACCTATACCTATACCTATACCTATACCTACACCTACACACACACACACACACACACACACACACACACACACACATATATATGGAGGACTGAGAGATGAATGGACATCCTATTTGAATATTCACACCTGGAATATTGTGTCCAATTCTGGGCACCACAATTAGAGAGAGATGTTGACAAGCTGGAATGTGTCCAGAGGAGGGTGACTAAAATGATCAAGGGTCTGGAGAACAAGCTCTATGAGGAATGGCTTAAAGAGCTGGGCACATTTAGCCTGAAGAAGAGAAGACTGAGAGGAAACATGGTAGCCATGTATAAATATGTGAGAGGAAGTCACAGGGAGGAGGGAGCAAGCTTGTTTTCTGCTTCCTTGGAGACTAGGATGCGGAACAATGGCTTCAAACTACAAGAAAGGAGATTCCATCTGAACATGAGGAAGAACTTCCTGACTGTGAGAGCCATTCAGCAGTGGAACTCTCTGCCCCGGAGTGTGGTGGAGGCTCCTTCTTTGGAAGCTTTTAAACAGAGGCTGGATGGCCATCTGTCAGGGGTCCTTAATGCAATTTTCCTGCTTTTTGGCAGGGGGTTGGACTGGATGGCCCATGAGGTGTCTTCCAACTCTATGATTCTATGATTTTATGATATAGTAGATATATCTAGTAGATATATAAGTAGATATAGCTAGTAGATATATAAAGATAGGATGTCCATTCATCCCTCTGTCCACACACACACACACACTGAGACTGAAAGATGAATGGACATCCTATTTGAATTTGTATGGAAGTCGGAACAGGGACATATCTTCAGTGTATGTACATATGTACATATAGATATAGTAGTTATATCTAGTAGATATATAAGTAGATATAGCTAGTAGATATATAAATATATATACATTGAGGACAGTGGGATATATATATATATATATATATATATATATATATATATATATATATAGTACTGAGAGATGAATGGACATCCTATTTTTATATATCTACTTGCTTGAGTACCTGGCAATGCCCAGGTTATTTGAAAAAAAACATTGTCTATGTTTGGATCATGGCTAATATCAGTTTGGAAATTTGTAATACTATGTCTTAGAGAAAAAAAATCAGTTTTTGCTTTTGTTTTTTTGTGAATGCTCCCATTAAGCCCTCATGTCTTTCAGGAAAGAATGGAAGACTTTCCAGTTTGAAATAGCTTTTAAATGAACTGCAACAGAAGCCTAGTATTTTATTGTCATATGGAAATTTTAGCCTGCGTTTCATTTAATGTAAGGGTCATTTTAATTTTTTATAGGGAGCATCCATGTTACTCTTTTGGCTTGTTTTAATCAACGGTTTTTATTTTACACTGTATTATTTATTGCATTTCTATACTGCTTTTCTCTCCCCATAAAAATGGCAAAAATTCAAAGCCTCACATCCATATAAAAGCAATGCATTACATATCTAAAAACAATAACATATAACTATAAATTAAGATCAATTAAAACCATACAAAGTCAGACATAGCCATAAAATATTAAAACATTTAGACATTGGATCAATCCCATGGTTTACTTTTAGCTGATTGAGTATTGCCATCATTCCTCAAATGCCTTCTTGCATAGCCAAGTTTTAAGCTTTTTCTAAATGTTAGGAGGGAGGGGGCCAATCTAATCTAGCTGGGGAGGGAGTTCCACAGCCGAGGGGCAACCACTGAGAAGGCCCTGTCTCTTGTCCCCATCAATCGCACCTGCAAAGGTGTCGGGACCAAGAGCAGGACCTCCCCAGCCAATCTTAGCGCTCTAACTGGTTCATAAAGGGAGAAACAGGTAAGCTGGACTGGCGCTGTTTGGGTTTTATAGGCTAAAGCCAGCACTTTGAATTCTGCTCATTAGCAGACTGGCAGCCAGTGGAGTTGATGCAACAGGGGGGTTGTATGCTCCCTGTATGCCATTCCAATAAGGAACCTGGCTGCCACCTGTTGGACTACCTGAAGCTTCTGAACAGTCTTGAAAGGCAACCCCACATATGCTGTATGTTTTGATGATGTTGTGAGCCACCTTGGGTCTGCTGGAGAAAGGTGGCATAGAAATTCTCGAAAGAAATATAAATAAATAAATAATGCATAGGGATGCGGATGAACTGCAATTCTCAAAATCATGGGTCAATGACCCCCAACCCCTGCCTCATTCAAAGTTGGCCATGATGGGTCTGTGTGCCGAGTCTGATCCATCTCTGTCATTGGCCTCTCCCCCCGCCCCAACCCCTCCAATATGTTCTGTTGGCCATCAGGGTTCTGTGTTCCAAATGTGGTCCAGATTCATCACCGGTGGGTTTCAGGGTGCTCTCTGGATGCAGGATGAACTACAACTCCCATTTCAGTGTGTCAGTGTCCCCACAAACTCTCCCAGTGTGTTCTGTTGTTCATCAGTGTTCTGTGTGCCAAGTTTGGTCCAGATCAGTCATTGGTGGGATTCAGAATGCTCTCTGTGCGCAGGGTAAACTACAACTCCCATAGGGGGGGGGGTCTGTGTGCCAAGTTTGGTCCAGGCCCATCATTCGTGGGGGTTGCAATGGCATGTGGATGCTGCGTGAACTATAACTCTCACCTGGGTGGATCAGCCCCTCCCTCAAACCCCTCAAGTAT